CGGTAATGCCCCTCCCCCGTTTCCCCGGTGACGTCCCCGCCCCGCTGTCCCCGGTGACATTCCCACCCCGGTGTCCCCGGTAATGTCCCCACCCTGGTGTCCCGGTGACGTCCCCACCCCGCTGTCCCCGGTGACATTCCCACCCCGGTGTCCCGGTGACGTCCCCGCCCCGCTGTCCCCGCAGCCGCGCTGGCCGCAGCCCAGGTGACCTCGGAGGACCAGGAAGTGCCGGAGCACAAACGTGAGTGTCCCCGGTGTCCCCGCGGTGTCACCACCCCGAGCCCGGGAGGGGGGCTCCACCCAGGGAGGTTTGGGGGGGTCGGTTTGGGGCCAGCCTGGTTTGGGTGGTCCCGGTTTGGGTGGTCCCAGAAGCGATCCTGGTTCTGACTGAGCGGAGTTTGGGCTGAGCCCGGTTCTGGCTGAGCCTGGTTCTGTCTGACCCGGTCCCGGTTCTGTCTGACCCGGTTCTGGCTGAGCCCGGTTCTGGCTGAGCCCATTCCTGGTCCTGGTTCTGGCCAAGCCCAGTGCTGGTTCTGGCTGACCCTGGTCCCAGTCCCAGTTCTGGCCGGTCCCAGCCCCGGTCCTGGTTCCAGCTGGCCCCGGTTCTGGTCCCGGTTCTGTCTGACTCCGGTTCTGTCTGACCCGGTCCTGGTTCTGTCTGACCTGGTTCTGTTCTGACCCGGTTCTCACCCCGGTTCTGTCTGACCCGGTCCTGGTTCTGTCTGACCTGGTTCTGTTCTGACCCGGTTCTGTCTGACCTGGTTCTGTCTGACCCGGTTCTCACCCCGGTTGTCTGACCCGGTTCTGTCTGAGCCGGTCCCGTTCTGACCTGATTCTGTCTGACCCTGTCCTGACCCGGTTCTGTCTGACCCCGGTTCTGTCTGACCCGGTTCTGTCTGAGCCGGTCCCGTTCTGACCCGATTCTGTCTGACCCCATCCTGACCCGGTTCTGTCTGACCCCAGTTCTGTCTGACCCGGTCCCGTTCTGACCTGGTTCTGACCCGGTTCTGTCTGCCCCGGTCCCATTCTGCCCCGGTCCCGTTCTGCCCCGGTTCTGTCTGACCCAGTCCCGTTCTGCCCTGGTTCTGTCTGCCCTGCTCCTGTTCTGACCCGGTTCTGACCCGGTTCTGTTCTGACCCGGTTCTGTCTGACCCGGTTCTGTCTGACCCGGTTCTGTCTGCCCCGCTCCCTTTCTGACCCATCCCGTTCTGCCCCGGTTCTGTCTGACCCGGTTCTGACCCGGTTCTGCCCCGGTTCTGTCTGACCCGGTTCTGACCTGGTTCTGCCCTGGTTCTGTCTGACTCGGTTCTGACCCGGTTCTGCCCTGGTTCTGTCTGCCCCGGTTCTGCCCCGGTTCTGCCCCGCTCCCGTTCCGGCCCAGCCGTGGAGATTCGCTGCGCCGCGTTCCGCTCCAGCTCCGGCAGCGCCCGCATCGAGTGGAAGTTCCAGAGGGGCTCGTCCCTGGCACTGATCTACTACGGGGGGGAGCTCACGGGTACGGGGACACTGAGGGGACACCGGGGACAGTGGGGACAGCGGGGACACTGGGGGCATTGGGGACACTGAGGACATCAGGGACACTGGGGACAGCGGGGACATTGGGGACACTGGGGACATCAGGGGACACTGGGGACAGTGGGGACATTGGGGGACCTGGGGGACACTGGGGACAGTGGGGACACTGGAGACAGCAGGGACTTTGGGGACACTGGGGACAGCGGGGACACTGGGGGACATTGGGGACATCGGGGGACATTGGGGACACTGGGGACACTGGGGACATTGGGGGACCTGGGGGACATTGGGGACATCAGAGGATACTGGTGGCATTGGGGACAGCGGGGACATTGGGGACCCTGGGGATACTGGGTACACTGGGGACATCGGGGACACTGAGGGCAGCAGGGACATTGGGGGACACCACAGGGCTCTGTAGGGACATCAGAGAGGCCCTGAGCCCGTGGGGACACTGGGGGGGGTCCCTGTGGGGCCATGGGGGTGTCCCCGGGTGTCCCCCGGGTGTCCCAGCTCGGTGTCCCCCAGAGCCGTACCGGGACCGTGTCCAGTTCTCGCCCACGTCCATCCGGTTCCAGTCGGTGACGCGCGAGGACAGCGGGAAGTACATCTGCGAGGTGGTGGGGGATGGCAGCCACATCGCCAAGTCCGAGGTCAACCTCATCGTCCAGGGTGAGGCCACCCTGTCCCCACCCCCGGCCTTGTTGCCATCACTGTCCCTGTCCCCATGGTGACTCCGGGTGGTGCTGTCACCGTCCCCACGGTGACTCCGGGCAGTGCCATCACTGTCCCTGTCCCTAGAGTGACTCCGGGTGGTGCCATCACCGTCCCTGTCCCTGTCCCCGTGGTGACTCTGGGTGGTGCCATCACTGTCCCTGTCCCCGTGGTGACTCCGAGTAGTGCTGTCACCGTCCCTGGGTTGACTCCGGGCGGTGCCATCACCGTCCCTGTCCCCGTAGTGACTCCGGGTGGTGCTGTCACCATCCCTGGGGTGACTCCGGGCGGTGCCATCACCGTCCCTGTCCCTGTCCCCATGGTGACTCCGGGCGGTGCCATCACCGTCCCTGTCCCTGTCCCCGCAGTGCCCCCGGGGAAGCCGCTGGCACACGTGCCCAGCTCTGCCACGGTGGGCGCGCGGGTGGTGCCATCACCGTCCCTGTCCCATGTCACGGTGACTCCGGGCAGTGCCATCACTGTCCCTGTCCCATGTCTGGGTGTCTCTGGGCGGTGCCATCACTGTCCTTGTCCCTGTCCCCGTGGTGACTCCGGGCAGTGCCATCACCGTCCCTGTCCCCGCAGTGCCCCCGGGGAAGCCGCTGGCACACGTGCCCAGCTCTGCCACGGTGGGCGCGCGGGCGGTGCTGCGCTGCTCCGAGGCGCAGGGCTCGCCGCCCCCCACCTTCCGCTGGTACAAGGACGGCACCGAGCTGCCCCAGGACCCCAAATCCAGCCCCGCCTTCCGCAACTCCTCCTACAGCCTGGACCCGCGCACGGGGGAGCTGGTCAGTGCCGGGGCAGGACTGCCCCTCTCCCTCTCCCTCTCCCTTTCATCTTTTCCTGCCCCTTTCCCTGTTTTTGTGCCCCTTTTCCTGCCCCTTTCCCTGTTTTTGTGCCCCTTTTCCTGCCCCTTTCCCTGTTTTTGTGCCCCTTTTCCTGCCCCTTTCCCTGTTTTTGTGCCCCTTTTCCTGCCCCTTTCCCTGTTTTTGTGCCCCTTTTCCTGCCCCTTTCCCTGTTTTTGTGCCCCTTTTCCCTGTTTTCCTCTTCTTTTCCCTGTTTTCCTCTCCCTTTCCCCCTTTTCCTGCCCCTTTCCCTGTTTTTGTGCCCCTTTTCCTGCCCTTTTCCTGTCCTTTTCCCTGTTTTCCTCTCTCTTTCCCTCTTTTCCTGTCCTTTCCCGCCCCTTTTCCCTGTTCCCCTCTCCCTTTTCCTGCCCTTTTCCCTGTTTTCCTCTCCCTTTCCCCCTTTTCCTGCTCCTTTTCCCTGTTTTCCTGCTCCTTTTCCCTGTTTTCCTCTCCCTTTCCCCCTTTTCCTGTCCTTTTCCCTGTTTTCCTCTCCCTTTCCCCCTTTTCCTGCCCTTTTCCCCTCTTTTCCTGCCCCTTTCCCTGCTCCTTTTCCCTGTTTTCCTCTACCTTTCCCCTCTTTTCCTGCCCCTTTTCCTGCTCCTTTTCCCTATTTTCCTCCCTTTTTCCTGTCCCTTTCCCCTCCCCTTTCCCCTGCCCCTCTCCCTTTCTCTCGTTCCCTCTTTTCCTGCCCTTTTCTGTTTTCCTCTCCCTTTCCCCCATTTCTTGCCCTTTTTCCCTGTTTTCCTCTCCCTTTCCCTCTTTCCCTTTCCTTGTTTTCCTCCCCTTCTCCTGTCCCTTTTCCCTGCTTTCCTCTCTTCCTCCCTTTTCCCCCGTTATCCTCTAATTTTCTCATTTTCCTGCCCTCATTTCTCCCCTTTTCCCCCTCCATTCCCCCTTCATTTCCCTCTCATTTTCTCCTCATTTCCCCCATTTTCCTCCACATTTTTCCCCCTGCTTTCCCCGCCTTTTATCCCAGGTTTTTTCCCTATTCCCTCCATTTCCCATTTTTCCCCCATTTCCCCTTGTTTTCTCCCCATTTTCTCCCCATTTTCTCCCCATTTTCCCCCATTTTCACCATTTCTCCCCCATTTTCCCCCATTTTTCCCTGACCCCTGCCCCGTTCCAGGTCTTTGAGCCCGTGGGGGGCTGGGACACGGGCGATTATCACTGCGAGGCCTCCAACAACGTGGGCACCCCCCAGAAATCCGACGTCTTCCGCATGGAAGCCAGTGAGGAGCGATCCCGATCCTGATCCTGATCCAAATCCCCATCCCAATCCCCGTCCTGATCCCGATCCTGATCCTGATCCTGATCCCAATCCTGATCCTGCTCCTAATCCCAATCCCCATCCTAATCCCAATCCTGATTCTGATCCCAATCCCAGTCCCCATCCTAATCCCAATCCTGATCCCCATCCCGATCCCAATCCTGATTTTGATCCCAGACCCAATCCCCATCTTGATTCCAATCCTGATCCCCATCCCAATCCCAGTCCTGATCCCAATCCTGATCCCGATCCCAATCCCAATCCTGATCCTGCTCCTAATCCCAATCCCCATCCTAATCCTGATCCTAATCCCAATCCCCATCCTCATACCCATCCCCATCCTGATCCCCATCCCCATTCCTGATCCCAATCCCAGTCCCAATCCCAATCCCCATCCTAATCCCGATCCTAATCCCAATCCTGATCCCCGTCCCGATCCTAATCCTGATCCAAATCCCCATCCTGATCCCGTGGGATCTCTCCAGTCCCTCCTGATCCCCTTGGATCCCCCTGATCCCTTGGCATCCTCCTGATCTCCCCGATCCCCCTGATCCCATGGGATCCCCTTGATCCCCTTGGATCCCCTCTATTCTCTGGGATCCCCATATCCCAGTGGATCCCCCTGATCCCCTTGGATCTCCCCCCAATCCCCTTGGATCACCCCAATCCCGTGGGATCCCCCCGATCTCCTTGGATCACTCCGATCCCCTTGGATCCCCCCAATCCCCTTGGATCCCCGATCCCGTGGGATCCCCCTGATCTCATTGGATCCCCCAATCCCCTTGGATCCCCCCGATCCCCTTGGATCCCCCGACCCCGTGGATCCCCGACCCCGCTCCGTGCCCGCCGGCGAGGTCAATCCCCGTGGATCCCCCAGTCCTGTGGTATCCCCCCAATCCCGTGGGATCCCCGATCCTGGCGGATCCCCCAATCCCCTTGGATCCCCCGATCCCCGTGGATCCCCTAATCCCGTGAGATCCCCCCGATCCCCGTGGATCCCCTAATCCCGTGGATCCCCGACCCCGCTCCGTGCCCGCAGGCGAGGTGAACGTGGGCGGCATCGTGGCCGCCGTGGTGCTGCTGCTCCTGGTCCTGGCGCTCGCTGCCTTCGGCGTCTGGTTCGCCTACAGGCGCGGCTACTTCAGCAGTGAGGGACTGGGGGGGACTGGGGGGGACTGGGAATGGACTGGGACTGGGGGGACTGGGGGGACTGGGAATGGAACTGGGGGGACTGGGAATGGGACTGGGGGGGACTGGGAGGGGCTGGGAATAGATTGGGAGGGGCTGGGAATGGCCTCTGTCCCTGGGGGTGTCCCCATGTCCCAGTCCCCGTGTCCCAGTAATGTCCCCCCTGTGTCCCCTCCCCTCCCTGATCCCCGTTTTTCCCCTTTTTTCCAGAAAAAACAGAGTGAGTGACACCAGAGCCACCTCCTCCTCCTCCTCCTGGGTGACCCCACCCACCCCCCCCGGTGTCACCCCGGTGTCACCTCGGTGTCACCCCGGTGTCACCCCTGTCCCTGGCGTGCCCCCTCGGTGGGGACAGAGGGGACACAGGGGGGTGGCACTTCCCAAAAATCCCGATTTTCCCGCAGTGCCGGCGGGAAGAAGGTGATTTACAGCCAGCCCTCGCGGCGCAGTGAGGTGAGGACACGGGGACACCGCGGGGACACCGCGGGGACACCGCGGGGACACCGGGACCTGCCACCGCCCTGGCGGGGACACCCCAGAGGCAGAGGGACACCCCGGTGTCCCTTGGCAGGAGGGTCCTGGGGGGTGGTGGGGGGGATGGTGTCACCCGTGGTGTCCCCATGGATGTCACCATGTCCCCAGTGATGTCCCCAGTGACGTCACCATGTCCCTATTAATGTCCCCAGTGTCCCTGGGGGGTGGTGCTGGAGGGAGGGGGCTCCCTGTCCCCATTGATGTCCCATTGTCCCCTCTGATGTCCCTTTTAGTGTCCCTGTGTCCCCAGTGGTGTCCCTCTGTTCCCCATTGATGTTCCTGTTGATGTCCCGTTATTGTCCCTGGTGTCCCCATTGATGTCCCATCTCTGTCCCCATCAATGTCCCTTTACTGTCCCTGTCCCTATGGATGTCCCCATGTCCCCATGGCTGTCCCTGTGTCCCCACCAATGTCCCCATGGCTGTCCCCATGGATGTCCCCATCAATGTCCCAATGTCCCCACTGATGTCCCCATGGCTGTCCCCATCGATGTCTCCATGTCCCCATGGCTGTCCCCATGTCCCCATCAATGTCTCCATCGATGTCCCCGTGTCCCCATAGCTGTCCCCATGTCCCCATCCTGATTCTGCGGGATTTGGGGAATTCCCGAAGGATTTTGGGGAATTCCCGCAGGGTTTTTGTAATTCCCGCAGGATTTTGGGAATTCCCGCGGGGTTTTTGGGAATTCCCGCGGGGTTTTTGGGAATTCCCGTGGGATTTTTGGGACTTCCCGCGGGATTTTTGGGAATTCCCGCCGGATTTTCGCCGCGGTTTTTTTAAAGCCTCACCGGTGCCTTCGCCGCCGCTGCCTCTGGAACCTGGGGGGGCTGGGGGGGGGGGTCCCCGTGTCCCCTCTTTGTGTCCCCTCTTTGTCCCCTCTTGTCCCCCCCATCGTCCCCTCCCATTCCCCCCTTGTCCCCCTTTTTGTCCCCTTTGTCCCCC